TGGATCACCACTAATAAAAATGTCCAATGGATAAATTACATTTATTACAACCAACAGAGATTCGTTAATGCGACATCTGAAATCCTGAGCGCTCTCGGTATTCAATTACACGCAGCAAGTATAATGGCCCAACAAAATAGACAGGTTTTGAATGGGTTGACAGCGGGTAGGGGAGGAGTATGTCACATGTTCGGGAAACATTGTTGTACCTCTATTCCAAATAACACAGCCCCTGACGGTATATTTTCTGTGGCAATGGGGAAGCTTACAGAACTCAGAGTTGAGCTCAGGGAGAGTGCGGGCAAGGGGGGACTGTCAAATGTTGAACTTGCTGACGCCGTCCCAAATGGCACAACTCTGCTTGGACGACAGCAGGGCAGGAAACGGGGACTATCCGGACTTATACCCAAACCCTGCCGTGTGGGTGACTCTGATGAGGACGGACAGAGTCAAGTGTAAGGTAAACAAGAAGCAGAGGTGCAGCAGCAGCAAGCAAGCAAAAGGAAAAGCAAACGGGACGGCGGAGCAAATGGACTATCACATCAATACACACATATTCTGTTGTTATCCATGTGTATTCTGCATACTCACATCATTTACACATACTCATTCCAGGTATATGGAAACAGGTAAAGGAAATGGTTAATCATTTTTGAGCAAAATAAAACATGTGGTTGATTGTCATGTAGAGTGGGTCAGTAAAAAGCTGTTAGATTTAGAAGGTTCACGGTGAAGGTCGCAAGCGGGAGGGGCCGCAGGGGAATTTCCTGCTCAAAGCAGCCAGCTGTAACGGGTATTGACTGGACCCAATTGCAGCACAAACAAGCAGGTTCACTTTAACAACAGTCTTTATTGAACACCAAATCCAATGAAGCAGCAGAGTATAGCAGGTGGGTATGGCAGGATTCGAACTCTGGTCTTCCGGGTGATAGGCGAGCAGATTAGCAGTGGACCACAGGTCAGGCAAGAGTTTTGAACTCGTGAGCAGGGAATTGTCCACAGTCTTAATTTGCTCTACGAGTGTAGTGAAGGGGAAAACGCTCAACTCACAGCTGGGGGAAGATTTCTTGGAGAGTGGTTCAGGTGAGGACTGGGTGAGGATCCAGAGCTTGCAGAGGAGCTGGCAGAACCAACGTCGGCAGAGGAGGTGAGTTGGCGAGGTGAAGCTGACGAGAAGGGGGATCTCAACAGAGCAGGAACAGGCTGAGTGACATTCAGCTGCAGGCAGACGAATAGCAGGAACCAGGCAGGCAAAGCTCGTAGTCAAGGACAGAAGGCAGGTAGGTTTACCGGGGCTGAGGCGAGAAGCAAAGGTCAGGGGCAGATCAGGTCGATACCAGGTAAGCAGTCCGAGGATAAACGCTGGAGAGTCAGGCATGAGAGCGAAGACAATCTGGCAAAGAGTGAGGGGAAAGAAGCTGCATATATACTGGCCTGATTGGAGATGATGAGCAGGTGAGAGCAGCAGGTGGAAGCAGTTAGCTGATGAGGGGTGTGGCTGAGCAGCAGAGCAGGAGAGGGGCAGAGCAGACTGTTACAGAACCCCCCTCTCAAGGGATGGCTCCCGACATCCCAAAGGTTAAACTGGGGGTGGGGGGGGTGGGCCTAAAACTCCTGGGAGCAAGACCTTGTCATCTCTTCAGCAGGGTGGGTGGAGGGGGTCTGGAGGAGGGTTTCTCGACGGGCTGACTCATTGGCTGGCTGGTCAGGATGTTGCCGATGAAAGTTGGCCACGAGGTTGGGGTCCAAAATGTGGCGAGCAGGAACCCAAGATCTCTCCTCAGGACCGTAACCCTCCCAGTCCACAAGGTACTGGAGACCCCTACCCCGCTGCCGAGAACGAATTAAGCGGCGCACTACATACACCGGACCGCCGTCGACAATTCGTGGAGGGGGAGGTAGTGGTGCCGCAGGGACCAAGGGGCTGTTGTGGACTGGCTTAACCTTGGAGACATGGAAGGTAGGGTGTACTCTCATGGACCGTGGGAGTTTCAAACTGACTGTCACAGGGTTGATGACCCTCTGAATGGTGAAAGGCCCAATGAACCTCGGAGCCATCTTCTTGGATTCCACCCGGAGAGGTAAGTCCTTGGTGGACAGCCACACCTGCTGACCCGCTTGATAGGTAGGTGCAGCAGTACGGCGGCGATTGGCATTGGCAGTGTAACGACCCACGGAACGGAGGAGGGTGGAGCGAGCCTGGAGCCATGTTCTGCGGCAGCGACGGATGAAGGCTTGGACTGACAGACAGGAGAGCTCCTTCTCCTGGGCTGGAAAAAGTGGTGGTTGATAGCCGTAAGCACACTGGAATGGAGAGAGGCCAATAGCAGAGCAGACGAGGGAGTTGTGGGCATATTCCACCCACAAAAGTTGTGACGCCCAAGAAGAGGGGTTCTGCGAGGCCACGCACCGCAGGGCTGTTTCCAGTTCTTGATTCATACGCTCAGTCTGTCCATTGGTCTGAGGATGGAATCCAGAGGACAGACTGGCGGTAGCACCCAGTAGACTGCAGAACTCCCTCCAAAACACGGAAGAAAACTGGGGACCACGGTCCGACACCACATCAACAGGGAGACCATGAAGACGGAAAACATGGAGAAGAACCAACTGGGCAGTCTGTTTAGCAGTGGGAAGCTTGGGCAGAGGCACGAAGTGGACCATCTTGCTGAAGCGGTCCACGATTGTCAGGATGACAGTGTGACCATCAGAGGTGGGAAGACCGGTTACAAAGTCCAAAGATATGTGAGACCATGGGCGGTGAGGAACAGGAAGAGGTTGTAGTAGCCCAGCAGGAGGCCGACGGGAGGTCTTATGTTGGCTGCAGGTTGGACAGGCCTTGACGAATTCCCGGACGTCCTCTTGCACAGTGGGCCACCAGAAACGTCGGAGGAGGGCATGCTGTGTCCGTTGAATCCCAGGGTGGCAGGAGAGCTTGGAGGAGTGGGCCCATTGTAACACCTCTGACCTCAAGGCTGGTGGCACAAAGAGGCAGTTAGACGGGCAGGAGCTGGGGCCCGGCTGTCCTTCTGTGGCTGCCTTCACCTTCTCCTCAATGTCCCAGGTCAACAAGGCTACAAGGCAGGAAGTAGGTAGGATGGTCTCAGCTCCAACAACAGAATCCTCTGTCCTCTGGAACTGTCGGGACAGGGCATCAGGCTTGACATTGCGGGAACCAGGACGGTAAGAGAGGGTGAAGTTAAAACGGGCGAAAAACAGGGACCAGCGGGCCTGGCGAGAGTTCAGTCTCTCTGCAGAGCGTATGTACTCCAGATTCTTGTGGTCAGTCCATACAAGAAAAGGTTCCTTCGTGCCCTCCAACCAATGGCGCCACTCTTCTAAGGCCATCTTTACTGCCAAGAGTTCCCTGTTACCGATGTCGTAGTTCCTTTCTGCAGAGGACAGGCGTCGGGAGAAGAAGGCACAGGGATGGAACTTCTGGTCAGTGCATGAGCGTTGAGACAAGACGGCCCCCACCCCAACATCAGAGGCATCTACCTCGACCACAAAATGGCGTTCAGAGTCAGGCATCAGGAGGATGGGCGATGAGGTGAACCGATCTTTGAGGAACTGGAAGGCCGCTGCAGCTGCAGAAGACCACTGGAAGGGCACTTTGGGGGAGGTCAGAATGGTGAGAGGGGCTGCTACTGAGCTGTAGTTGCGGATGAAGCAACGGTAGAAGTTGGCGAACCCAAGGAAGCGCTGAAGCTGCTTGCGGTTCTCTGGAACAGGCCAGGAGGTAACAGCTGAGACCTTGGCTGGGTCCATCTGGATGCTGCCTTGTGCCACATTGTATCCGAGAAAAGATGCTGAAGGAACATGGAACTCACACTTTTCTGCTTTAACATACAGGGAGTTCTCCAAGAGGCACTGAAGGACGGACTGGACATGATGAATGTGTTGCTCTTTGGACCGGGAGAAGATGAGTATATCATCAAGGTACACAAAGACATACTGGTTGATCATGTCTCGGAGAACATCATTAATCAGAGCCTGGAAGACGGCAGGGGCATTGGTGAGGCCAAACGGCATTACGAGGTACTCGTAGTGTCCAGTAGGGGTGTTGAATGCCGTCTTCCATTCATCTCCTTCTCTGATGCGGACGAGGTGGTAGGCGTTGTGTAGATCGAGTTTGGAGAAAATGGTGGCCCCCTGGAGCAGTTCAAAAGCAGTGGAGATGAGTGGCAGTGGGTAACGGTTCTTAACCGTGATCTCATTCAGTCCTCTATAATCTATGCAAGGTCTCAATGTCTTGTCCTTCTTCTCAACAAAGAAAAACCCCGCTCCAGCAGGGGATGAAGAGGGACGAATGATGCCTGCGGCCAAGGAGTCATTTATGTATGTCTCCATGGCCCTTCTTTCGGGTTCAGACAGGGAGTACAGGCGACCCTTGGGAGGTGATGAACCAGGCAGGAGATCAATGGCGCAGTCATAGGGTCGGTGTGGAGGCAGAGAGGTGGCTCTGGCTTTACTGAAGACCTGGCGGAAGTCATGGTACTCGGGTGGCACCCCACTGAGGTCAGGTGACGAACTGGAGCTACGCTCGGAGGGATGAAACGGAACTGAGGCTTGCTGCAGGCACCTCTGATGACAGGAGGAACTCCACTCCCGGATGGTCCCAGTTGCCCAGTCGATGTGCGGATTGTGAAGACGGAGCCATGGATATCCCAGGATAAGTGGCAGGCAGGAAGAGCTCAGTATGTGAAACTGGACGGTTTCATGATGATTACCAGACAGTAGCAGGTGAACAGGAGAGGTCTGATGCGTGACGGTGCCCAGGACATGTCCATCTAAGGCTCGAGCAGGAACCGGGTGAGGCAAAGGAACCCGCTCAAGCCCCAGCTGAAGGACCACCTCCTCGTTAATGATGCTGGCATCAGCCCCAGAGTCAATAAAGATAGCCAAGGTGTGGGGGCCGTCTGGAAGGAGGAGGCGGCCTTGGAGCAGGGGTCGCTGGCTTTGGGGAGGTGACAGGGTAGTTGAGCTCACCAGGGTCTCCCCAACTACTGATGAGCTCTGGCTTTTGCTGGACAGCCGGAGATGTAGTGTCCCGCTGCCCCACAATAGAGGCAGAGATTGGACTTGCGTCTACGCTCTCTCTCTTCCAGGGAGAGAGAGGTGCGGCCCAACTGCATGGGCTCTGGATCCTCAAACTGCTGACCCAATGGGGTGGAGTTGGCTGCAGCAGCACCCCCACGGGAGCGAGGTGGACGAGTATGTTGGATTTCCCCTTGACGCTTCTCTCGTCGACGAGTCTGAACACGAAGATCGATGCGGACGGCCAAGTCAATCACCCCGTCCAAGGTGAGGGAGGTGTCATGTGAAACCAGTTCATCTTTAATGTAATCTGCCAACCCATGGAGAAAGGCATCACGGAGAGCTGCACTGTTCCAACCACTATGGCTGGCTCTGGTGCGGAAATCAATGGAATAGTCAGCCACTGTTCGTTCGCCTTGCTTCAGTCCCATCAGTCCCCTAGCCGAATCAGAACCAGAATTCTCAAACCCAAAAACCTTCCGAAGCTCAGCAGCAAACAGGTCAAATGAAGCACAGGCTCGAGACCGCCTCTCCCACTCAGCTGTTCCCCATAGTCTAGCTCTGCCCGTCAGGTGGTTAATGACAAACGCTACCTTTGCCGGTTCTGTGGCGAAGGTGCGGGGCTGTAGGGCAAACAGGAGAGAACAGTTGGTGAGGAAGGGGCTGCAAGTCTCTCTATCTCCGTCATAACGCTCTGGGGTTCCCACCCGTGGCTCAGGGGCATCGCTGGGTAGAGAAGAGGCGGGTACAGGTGCAGGAGCAGAAGGTGAAGCTTCCGAAGAAGAGGCAATTCCAGCAGATCAGGGGAGCTGGGCTAGCTGAGCTGCTAGCTGTTGCATCTGTGCCGCTAAAGCTGCTAGTGATTGTCCCTGAGTCTCAGCAGCTCCTCTGGCTTCAGCGGCAGCCGCAGTCATCATGGCCTCATGTTGCTGCAGAACGCCTTCAATTCTCTCAAGGCGATCCAGTGGTGAGGGATTGTGTGCTGGGTCCATAGTTTGGCCAGATTGTACTGTAACGGGTATTGACTGGACCCAATTGCAGCACAAACAAGCAGGTTCACTTTAACAACAGTCTTTATTGAACACCAAATCCAATGAAGCAGCAGAGTATAGCAGGTGGGTATGGCAGGATTCGAACTCGGGTCTTCCGGGTGATAGGCGAGCAGATTAGCAGTGGACCACAGGTCAGGCAAGAGTTTTGAACTCGTGAGCAGGGAATTGTCCACAGTCTTAATTTGCTCTACGAGTGTAGTGAAGGGGAAAACGCTCAACTCACAGCTGGGGGAAGATTTCTTGGAGAGTGGTTCAGCTGAGGACTGGGTGAGGATCCAGAGCTTGCAGAGGAGCTGGCAGAACCAACGTCGGCAGAGGAGGTGAGTTGGCGAGGTGAAGCTGACGAGAAGGGGGATCTCAACAGAGCAGGAACAGGCTGAGTGACATTCAGCTGCAGGCAGACGAATAGCAGGAACCAGGCAGGCAAAGCTCGTAGTCAAGGACAGAAGGCAGGTAGGTTTACCGGGGCTGAGGCGAGAAGCAAAGGTCAGGGGCAGATCAGGTCGATACCAGGTAAGCAGTCCGAGGATAAACGCTGGAGAGTCAGGCATGAGAGCGAAGACAATCTGGCAAAGAGTGAGGGGAAAGAAGCTGCATATATACTGGCCTGATTGGAGATGATGAGCAGGTGAGAGCAGCAGGTGGAAGCAGTTAGCTGATGAGGGGTGTGGCTGAGCAGCAGAGCAGGAGAGGGGCAGAGCAGACTGTTACACCAGCAGGTTTTCGCCCCTGCCAGATGTGAACCAAGTCACAAGTGGTTTAAGTGTTGTGTTTATGAAAATGTAACATTTGTGATAACAAGCATGAGTTGGATTGGTTTGAGAACGTACATATGCATCTGTAATCAATCTAGTAGTATCATATCACATAACATTGTCATAACTCATTCATGGAACGTAACTAAGGCTAAGACAAGATAAGTGTGAATCTCCAACGGCGTCATTGAACTCGTTTAATCTTGAAAAGATTCAAAGGGGGGATATGTGGGGGAAAATAACAGATGTGGTTGGATGTTTTGGAGGTTGCTATGAAGCAAGAAAACAGGACTGCAACACAGTCATGGTGAACTGTGTTGCAATAACATAAACTCTATCAGGTTAGGATAAACTGTGTTGCAATGACATAAACTTTATCGGGTCATGGTGAACTGTGTTGCAATAACAGGAATTTGGCCCCAGAGATAGGGGCAGGGGAGAAGTCATGTAGGGAGCTCTCCCACGGGAAAGTGATACACACACGAAGGTAGCTTCGCACACACATTTGGCAAAAGTTGGGATCAGTGACGTCAATGGAGTACTATAAGAGGTCTGTAGTTTTTCTGTTCTGGGTTCTGTCTGTTCGACTGTTCATGAGCTATGTTTTGATGCTGTGACCAGAATAAAATCCCGTGAGAGGCTGCCAGCTTGATTCTGTCTTCGTGTAGCTCATTTCTGCATTTTTGCACCGAGGTCATCTTCTAAACAGCTACCATGAAGTACTATGGATAAACCATGGTAGTACTATGGGTAAGACCATAGTTTTTGTAATCACCGTGAGGTACCATGGTAAAGCCATGGTTAACCATCGTTAAATGCATAAAAACCATAGTAAACCATAGTGAATTTCCGTAATGGAATATAAACTATGATAATACCACAGCTACCATGAAGTACTATGGATAAACCATGGTAGTACTATGGGTAAGACCATAGTTTTTGTAATCACCATGAGGTACCATGGTAAAGCCATGGTTAACCATCGTTAAATGCATAAAAACCATAGTAAACCATAGTGAATTTCCGTAAGGGTTTGGGGTTTTGTATGAGTAAGGTATTTACCTGTGCTCACTACTGCCCTCATGTGTCTAAATCTTTTAGTTTGTCCTGGCCACTTAAGACCTGTGACCCCCTGTGCCTGTTCACTTTAGGCCCATTCATTAATCCACACAGAAAGAGACCTGCATTGTTCAAAATAATGTGTAGATTTTATTTTATTTTTTTAAATAAAAGTCATTCTAGATGTTATTAGGTGATTAAAAAGGGTGTGGTTTGTGCTCAAGGATGCATTAAGGTGCATTACGGTGAAGTATTTTATTGACCATTTAATTTATTTTCTATTATTTGTTCTATTGTTTGTATGTAAGATGTAAAAAAAAAAACAGTTGTAAAATGTAACTGGTTTTCTATGGGCATGGCTCATGTAATATGCAAATTGGATGGAATTCACACTCAAAGCAAAACTAATACAGGTCCAACATTTACAAATGTACTCGTAGGCTTCATTTAGTGAAAAATAATGTGCCTCTGTCAACACTGGGGTGGGGGCTGAGCACCCTAAAGACCAGATGCTAATATCGTCCTTGCTGCCTACCCAAGCTTTAAATACAAATATCCAAAATATGAAACCCACATATAGTGTGCTGCCTTTGAGACTACTGTTCTATCATACTAAGTGCAATCTTTGAGTATCTGTTTTTGTGAAAAAGCTTCAGTAGCCCAAAACTATAGAAAATGATTTTACCACTGACAGAACATGTACTGAATTGAGTTAAACTTGTGTCAAACTTTTTTTTTAAATGCAAGTGAGCACTGCCTGCATGTAAAGAAGCATCATGCCTGACATGGTGTCATGTCTGCAGCTTTATGACCCCCCCCCCCCCCCAAGTGAGCAACAGAAAAACTGCTCATTCAGTCCAATCAGGGCAGAAAATTGAGAGACAAGAGACCCCTCCCGTGCTACACTTTTAACCCACATACATACAATTTCACACACACTTTCACACACACACATACTTGGCCTTCTGTGCTCCTGGCAGTAGTTGAAGGTGGTCGGTGTGATCAGACGAAACCAGTTCTGCCTCTGTTTTAACAGATGACGAGAGGAGCCATGTCACCACTTTGAAGCTGTCCGCCACTCCACTGCGGTGTGGGTAGAGCCTGTGGAAGGATGAGCTCATGGCAGTCTCTCTTGCCATAATTTACAGTTGCCTGTGTGGCTGTGCTGACCTGAAGTGGTTCTGGACAGAAGCACAAAAATTTAGAAACTGTAAAAATGTAGTTTCAGTCAGATGATACCAGATTTGTCAGATTTTTATGATTATTTTCTAGGTTTAGATTAAGTTTTAAGAAAATCATATCCTAAACATCTTCTCTATAAAAATGTTTTTTTTTTAAATGAAATGACATATCTTCCCTGCAAAATATTGTTGGTCCTATGATGGTTGCTCTGACTTTGAATCCTAGAAATGAGATAACAGGAAGTCATCTTCTCATTGGCTCAAAAACAGAACTCTGCAAACAAAATAAGCCCAGCTAGGACAGAAAGAAAAAGGATATAACTTTTACCAGGTAGGTGAGGCTGAATACCTCTACTTTCCTGATTTAGTGTGCCGATTTTGAAAAAGTATGCCAACCTTGGGGCTACATGGAAAACAGCTTTTTATTGCATATTCTGTTTTCTAGCAATCCATCCATTAGTGGACATAACACCTGTCAGCATTTTCAGGAATACACACATTCTCTGAACAACACTATTTTCACAGTAATGTTAAGTCTTAGCTGTAGCTTGAGTAGCTTAATCATCCCATAACCATCTGGTACAGAAGCTGCCATACACAACATAATACTATTGCGTTTACACCGTCAGTGAGAATACAAAAAGAATATTACAAAAAAGCCACTGACTGTAAAATCTGCTCTCCTTGTGTGACTTACAGCCTATGGGGGATAAACTCTGTGTGTTTCTGCAACATCCAGGGCCTTTTTCTCGTTCAAAGTAAGACCCTATTTTGCACACCGTGGATCCAATGAGTATTCCTATTCCTGATATTATTACAGGCTGAGTGAGGTAAAGGGTCAGTGTTTATTTTGTCACTTGTATGCAACAAGTGCAATGTTATCCTCTCTGCCTCCATCCTTCTTCCCATTTTATGAACTTTTTCAGCTATAATGACACACTGCAGATTTTAACAGTAGCTACATAGTTCAACCTTAATATTGATATCCGCTTAATTGAGTTTATTTGACAAACAGAAATGACAACTATGTAACTTTTAACAACTTGAACTCAAGTATTTGACTTTCTGACTAAATCTAAAAAAGCTGCTAAAACTAACTCTGGCTGCCCTGTTAACACAGATAAAACTGAATGAATTCTTTATTTTTCAGCTGTATGTTATCAGTAGAGCTTCCTGTGCTTCACTTTTTAACCCCCAATCATTAAAATTTCCTAAATTAAACTGATAATCAGTTTCTCATGCCCTCCTGCTTGGTGCCCTGTAGCCACACCTCACAAGCTTCCAGTTTTCAAAATAAAAGCTCAGGGGTATGCAGGTGGTAATTGTGGCCTTTTGGTTTTTACTTTTGTGAGTTCCTGAGTTACTCTTTCTTGTGTGGCATGTG